TCCTGCTGTCCCTCCAAGAAAAGAAAATCCTTATTCTCTAGGGTCTGTGTTGACAGTTTTCCATATCGTCTTTGCTACCTCTCTGTCATCCTCTTTCTTCTTTGTGTTCACTGTTGAGAAGGCCTGAATAGACTTTTACAGAATGGTGTGTACATGCATACATACATACACACACATACACATAAGTATATACATGCATATGTGTATATACCTCCATATGCACACGCTCATGCACACACATACATGTACCCTTGCTATACCAGGATGCTTAGACAACTGCAGAAGACCAGCCATGCAGAAGCATGTCCACATGCATTTTTAGCTTGTGTGTGGGACCTAATTCAGGGATTGTCTGTCAATCTGGATTCAAACATGCTTGAAGTTGTTCTCTGAGCCCAGAGTTTACCTGTCCTTCCTCTCACTGCATCATGTTACCATTCTACCTTTTACTAAGGCTATCTGCCATTAATATTAGATATTGGACAGAATACATTGAATTTGTCATGGGCAAAGCAAATACAACTCAAGTGAAGCCAGAGAAGCCGTTTGTCTCAGAAATGAATGCATTGATTAGAAGTACGTTAAGTAATAAAGAGTTTATGTGAATTATGAAAAAAATAGTTTGTAAATTTAGCTACAGGCAAATATGCTGATTTCTTGTTTCACAGTTGTAACCCACCTGCTGTTCCCTACCTTGGAATGTACCTGACAGACCTGGCATTCATTGAAGAAGGAACACCAAACTTCACTGAGGAAGGCCTTGTCAATTTTTCCAAAATGAGAATGGTAATTTTCAGTTCCTTATATGCTTTCCCAACAGGTGTTTAATTATGTGAGTTAATTATTGATTTAACTACAACTCCTTTGAATTTAACTTCTAAGACATACAAGTATATTGGCCCCATGCAAGATAGGTAGCTATTTGAAAGCTATTACTTGACCCAGTCTTCTATCACCACCTTCTGGTAAACTGAGTATTTTTGCAGGGTGAATTTGCCTCTGATTTGTTCTTTGAGAAGTGACAGACAGAAAAAGCAGCTGTCTGAAGCTCATGAAGGAGCAACAAAAGGCTTTTTGAAATAACCAAAATTAAAGGAATGTGATGATTCACCAGAAATCAGTAATCACAATCTTCTTTTCATGTGTGCTAAGGACTATCTAAAAAAGTATTTTAAAGTTGATTTCTCTCCAACTACCATGTGTTGTTGTTTTGTAACAACTCCTCAGAGGGAAGCATAAAAATTTGTCTTCTAATCTCAGCTTAATGCCCTTCCTATGGCTACACATTGCAGCAGTCACTCGAGGCAAAGAGAAGAGGTTATCAGTATGGGGAGAGGAGGGGCAAGATGGTTCACTTGAGGCTGACTGAACAAGAAATGGTTAATTTAGGAACGTTAAATCCTTGGAAGCCGTTGGGAGATGATCTCTGCCCTTCCCTTCCCTCCTCTCAGGGTAAATTGCATAATTTGGTGCAAAACTCTTGCCTTATGTGGCTTAGCTGAAGTCAAAATGCAGTTATACTTACTCATATATATGTATTCTTTTGGAAGATCTCACATATTATCAGGGAAATACGCCAGTTCCAACAGACCTCCTACCGCATAGAGCATCAGCAGAAGGTAAGGCTCTTCTTAGGCACTGTTACCTACTAATGAAGTCAAAGCTGTGGTAGCATTGGTAAGATACAGCTGTTGTTGAAAGCTAAAATCCATGTATTCTGCTCCCACAGAGAGAGAGAGAGGACAGACAGAAATACAGACAGGTGCTCTGGGGCTGTAATACCCTCACCCTGGCAGCAGGTCTTTATTTGACACTGTATATAGAAGCAAGTTTTTTCCTGTTTCTCTGGAAGCTCTCTCAGGATTACAGCCTTCATGGGTCTGGGGTATCAGGGAACAGGTTCAAAGGGAAAGATGTTCTCCCTGCCCATCTGGAAGCAAAATTCCCCAGGGAATCCCAGAATCCCAGGATTAGGGGACAGGAGATGGCCCAAGCATCTGCTGATTGTGCAATTGCAATTCTTTTCCCCTTGTCCCTGATGGGAACAATGAAAATTTGCCCAAAGCCAGTCTGTACCTTCAGAGGAGATTTCATCTCAGACTTCAGGAGAGCAACATGGGCTTAGGTAACCTGGCTAAGGACTTGCCCATTCCTAAGAGTCTGTACTTGATTCCTAGAGTGCTGCTTATGCAGCTTTACACTGTTCAAACAAACTGTTGTGTTTCTCAAGAAGACAACGTGAGGGGATCTCGGGATGTGAAACGGGCTGAAGGGGAAGAGGAAAGCAGAGAAATTTTTGTGGAAGTAACATACAGTCCATTCATCTGTGTTTTCTCCATTCCAGGTCACTCACTATTTACTTGACAAGACACTCATCATAGATGAAGATACCTTGTATGAGCTTTCCCTAAAGATTGAACCCAGACTCCCTGCCTGAGGAGCCAGCTTTGCCACAGAGTCTACAGAAAGCTTTAGTACAATGAACAAAATAATGCATGCCAAGTCCTAAAGACAGCAAGGGAAATATTAAGAATGCAAGCTCTTTTCCAATAAGAGATACAGAGCCTCACAGCATTTCCCTCTCAGGCAACAAAAATGAGCATGGGAAGTGGAAGACAAAGGTGCTTCCTACCCAGATTAAGTGATTGCTGCTTTGCAAAGATAATGTTCTGCAGTAGGCAATGTGCATTTAATGGAAAATAGGAGACTTTCCTGTGAATGAGTACTCATTGTAGCCATCTTATGTGACAAATTAAGGGGACAGATTTAAATGGTGGTAATATACTCAGGTATATTGAGATAAATGAGCAAAATGAGATGGCTGTGATGTCATCTGGGTTGATGGTTAACCATGTGTTCACTGAGGCAGTAACAGTAATGGCGTCCTCATATTGTGTTAACTTCATTGAAAAAAGTGTTAACTTCATCTTAACAGTCATCTACTATCTTGGAGTGGCATTAAGGTGGCATCTGGTATCTTCAGATCTGCAGTTGTTCAAAATACTTGCTATACATTTAATGCTACCCCTTACAAAATGTTACGTTCTTTAAATGTCTTGCCAGCCTTTTCTAAGGTGACTGATTTTACCTATAAAGGGATTGTAAATATTTTTTTCATTACTACACAATGAAACTATTTACAGCATGGAAATAAAATGAATTAGTTGAACAGCTGTAAATAGTTGCCACCTTGCAAGCTTCAGCTATGAAATACAAGGTTAGGAGCTATTCCTGAGACTTGAGAAATCCAGACATACAGTGAATGCGATGGTTAGTCACGTTGCACACAGCCCTAGAAAAGGCACTTTATTTTTCTGCACCTCCTGCAGCTTCTCTGACAAGTCAGGCTACAGAGCACTTTCTGGACACACTGTGGAGAGAAACACATGTCCGGTCTGGCAATGGGTAGTGATCAGCAATGAACACTAGGAGTGACAGTTTTGGAATCAGTGGTTTGAAAAACATGTATTTTTTTGTTCAGACATTCAGCACTGACTTAGCTCTAAAATTGTTCATGGCAGTGGCAAACTCTGAATGCCAGCAAACACAAACTATGTATTTTTGCATATGGGCATATGTTTAACAAAATGTGCTATTTGTAAATGTTTTCAAAGCCTATGCTTTTGTGACATACCAGGTAGATAGATGTCATTTCTACAGCTAGTTGGTACTTCCTAAGTTTTCCTGATCAAGAGCAGCCTGTTGTGGCTGCATGGAAAGTGAGCTCAAATGCATGCTGTAAAGCGCACCATAATAGAAAACACAGGTATTAGCAGTGTTGAAAACATAGGCTGGAAAAGTGTCCTTACTTTTCCAATTATATTCAGCCACTTGAAGAAATAGGGCTATATCACTGTATACCTCCCTTAAATCCTCTCAGGGAGATAGATGTTTAAAACAGATTGTGACCTAGGCCTATTTGATCTGACGTATCTCACTACAGTCATGATGCTTCTTGCCACTGGTGATGAAAAATGGATCTGCCTGGCTTGTGGTTTTTGTCTTTATTTGCACTTTAATTATATTGCTGGCCCAGCCCAGAGCTGCACAATAAATGCCATTCTTTCTGTCCAAGTGTAACTGCTAGCATTTATAAATGTACCTTAGCAACTGTAAATTTCATTAAGGTTCTTCACCACAAGGACCACCTCTTTGTAAATAACTGCATGAGGGGACATCACAAATACTGGAAAATTCCTTGATTAGTAAAGCAGATAGCAACAGAAAAGGAAATTCCAGAAACACTTTTAAATAGTTTTGGCTAATGATTGCTGTAGAAATTAACATGGAAAATGTTACTTACAGAAGCTTTTTATTGTCAAAAATGTGCTTGTTCTTTTCACTAATGACTGACAAGAAGCTGATTGCATACCAATGCATGATATGAAAAAAAAAAAAAAGGCATGGTTTATTTGGACCACAAAACCAACTTACTGTGTATTTTCTGTACAGAAGCAGTTACCGTACAGTAGTTTCATAAAACAATTTGAAGTAATGAAGAAACAGGGAAAAAGTGGTCCAAGAAGTGATTTCTTAACTTGGTTTTATTGTTTCTCTGTTAACAAAAAAGATACGTAACAACTGTCAATGTCACTTGGCATTTCTGTTGTATGCTATTAACTGCTGCTTTATCTGCCTGTACCCCATTTTACCAAACTCCCTTGATGTTCTTAGGGTTACAGGGTACAATTCTTCATATTACTCTTTTCACAGTTTGTTGTTTTGTACTTTATGTGTGTATATCGGTTCTTCAGAGTTTCAAAACATTCAATGCATTTTAACGCTTGCAGTACGCAGGAGCTGTGCTCGTGGTGCAGCGTTACAAATGGACAGAGAGGAAGACGAAGGATTAGATGTGGGTTTTTTCAAAGGTGCTGAGCATCCACATCTTAAAATCAGTAGACAGTGTGGTAGTTCAGACCCTCTGGAAAAGCATATATTATTTATATGCCAGAAGTTACTTTTTGGGTCAGTGGCACAGTTTAGAGTAGAATCGGGAGAGTAACTACATACTTGATTTGTGTTCAGAGCAACAAAAAACACAAAAACGTTGTGGTCACAGTAACGTTTGATTTGCTGATGACCAATACGAATTTTTTTGGTTGGAGATACAACGCGTTCATTAAAAAACAGGGGGTGAGCGCTCAAAGAGGTGAGCATCCATCTTGTTATCCACAACACCAGCTGGTGTTGCAACCCTAACCAGAGCTGGGAAGAGCTGCTCTGCAGAAACGCTGCACAGCGAGTGCACGTCGGCTTGTGCACATCACGTCTAAGTGGCCCGAGTGCCTCTGCTGCAGTACTGCTGCAGTGTTGGAGCTACGGCGATAGTCAGTGGGCAGCAGCAACCTGCTTTAAGTGAGGCTTTGCCTAGTGCGGCTACATAACCAGCTAGTGCGGCCATCTCCCCGTACAGCGCACCGGGACGGTGGGGCTCCTTGCTGCTGGCTTCTCTGTGCCACTCCACCACAGCCGTGTAATGGAGAGAGATACAAACCCCAGTCATAAAACACCCGCTGTTTTGCCTCTGGTGTTTTAGGGGGGATGTCTCCAAGTGAGGACCTTGTCATTTGGATCTTGCTGTCTTTCAGGATCTTGTCCATTATAGCTTTTTGCGCCATGGAAGCAGAGCAGACTTGCTTTTCTGCAGCTGGAGCTGAAAAAGCCCAGCTGATTCAAGATTCGTAAGAAAGAGAAGGGCTGAAGCGCCTATTACTTGCCTTTCTTAGCTCCTCAGCCCCGGTGCACCGGCTGGATGCGACAGCAGTTCTCCCGCTGGAGAGGCTGCT